GGAAGAAACTCAAGTGGCTTTCAACGAATGAATTTTTAAAATGTGTTATATCCATACAACAAAATATTATTTGTGCATGAAAAGGAATGAAGTACTGATTGATACCTGTTACAGTGTGAATGGTCCTTGAAACACTATGCGAAGTAAAAGAATCCAGCCACAAAAGACCACATGTCAAATGATTCTATATATAAAATGTCCAGGAAAGGCAAATTTGTACAGACAGAAAGTAGATTCATGGTTGCTTAGGGATTGGGGTTGGGGTATGGAGGTGGGTGATAGCTAAAGGGTATGTGGGACATTTCTTTGAGGTGATAAAAGTATTCTACAATTGACTGTGCTGATAGCTGCACATAGCTATATACTAAAAGTCACCGAATGGGACCTTAAATGGTGGATTGTATGATATACGAATTATGTCTCAATAAAGATTTTTCTAAAAAAAGACATTTGCAGAAGTTCAGTGCTTTTCAGATGAGGCTATGAACATATTCTCAAGAATTATATGCAGTCAGGTGTAACAAACACCACATTGGCCACCAGGACACACATAACCTAAGCAGCCGAAGGGTATGCATGCCCTGTGCCGAATGCTGTGCCGCTAATGAAGTGCTGCGAGATGTCTTCAGGATGCTGGAATGCTACATCTTTGCCTTGATGACCTCACTGCATCTCCTCCCTCTGGGTCAGAAGCCATCAGAAGGCAGATTCTAAAAAGGAGCTGGCTATGGAGCTATATACTAGGCTGCTTTCTGAATGGAGTGAGGGAAAGGAAAATTCACGTGTTCTGAGCATCGACTTTCTACTATCTACAGTCTAAAGCCAGTAAGCAGTAAGGCCGCCATTACATTCCTTTCGTTGGAAAGTTCTCATAGTCTGGGATACCAATCCTTTTTGTGTCCCACATGTCAGGTGCTTTGGTATATGTGAGGAAGCTACATGCAGTATCTGGCATGATGCCTGGAATAGAGGAAGTGCTTGATAAATATTTATTGAGTAAACATTTGAGCCAATGTTAGCTGTAAGGCTGCCGTTACACAGAAGACTCATTAAAATTGGTATTATAAAGGGCTTACATATAAATTCTTTATGTAGATTTGTGATAAACAATGAAAAAAGATTTAACAAAAACAGTATCCTGTTTATGAAACACTTTAAGTCTAAATTAAATATGCCTACATAGTTCTGATAGTCTAAGGTAGAGAATGCAGATAATTCACTGATTGGCACTATAGTTGGAAAATACAAATGCAGATGGCAGATCCCTTATTCGCAAAGTGTGGGAATGGGGAACAAGGGAACATGCACCGAATGGGTTTAAAAACTGCTGATGGTGGCCAGGCGCAGTGACTCACACCTGTAATACCAGCACTTTGGGAGGCCAAGGTGGGCAGATCACCAGAGGTCAGGAGTTCGAGACCAGCCTGGCCAACATGGTGAAAAACATCTCTACTAAAAATACAAAATTAGCTGAGTGTTGTGGTGGGCACCTGTAATCCCAGCTACTTGGGAGGCTGAGGCAGGAGAATCCCTTGAACCCAGGAGGTGGAGGTTGCAGTGAGCCAAGATTGAGCCACTGTACTTCAGCCTGGGCAACAAAAGCAAAACTCCATCTCAAAAATAAATAAATAAATAAATAAATAAATAAAAATAAATAAATAAACTACTGATGCCCATGGGTGAGACCAAAGGTAATAAAAGCTAACCTCTGGGCTATGATCCAAATGAATTAATCAGAAGGGAAAACAGGCTTTGGAGGGCATCAAGCAATACCTTCTACCCAGGCAAAGGATGTGCTGGTGGTTCCAAAGTCTGCCCAGGTGGACGACTGTCAAGACAAAACACCAAGCCCCAGATGTGGCTCTGCAAAGTGGCTGCGAGTGAACAGCACGTTCAGATGCACACACTGCAGTGGCTTCCAGAATTGATTAAATAGATCTGTTCAAACCCGATTGAAACTGCATTTTCCTCACTTTTCTATAGAGGGGTTTTCTGACACATCATGGCTAAGCGTAAAAGTGATGGATGCATTGATGGCCCTCATCATTCGGTGGCAGGAAGGAAAAGGATGTTCACGAGCACCCAGCCCAGCATTTCCCTAAATGTTAAATGCGTCCCACTGGCGGGACAGGGAACCACATGGATGTATTCACTTCGTAGGATTGCAGAAACTAACAAACCGGATGGTTTAAAACAACAGAAATTTATTCTGCCATAGTTTTGGAGTCTACCAGTCTGAAATCAAGGTGTCCACAGGACCCGGCTCCCTCTCAGGACTCTAGGGGAGAATGCCTCCTGGCCTCTCTCTAGCCTCCGCTGGTGGCCAACAATCTTTGGAGTTCCTTGGCTGGAGAGACAGTGCTCCACTCTCCACTGTGATGGAACACTGTGTCTGTGGCCACAGACTCCACTGTGGTGTTCTCCCTGTGTGTCACAATCTGTGTCCAGATTTCCTTCTTCTAAAGACACCAGTCATGGGATTAGAGCCCTAATTCAGTATGACTTCCCTTTAACTTGAGTACATCTGCAAAGATCCTATTTCCAAATAAGATCCCATTTCCGAAAAAGATTCCAGATACCCTAGAATTTGAACATATACAATTCAGCCTACAACAACCAGTAAATGTTTTTTTATTGTCATGTATTTCAGTGTACATCCACGACATACAATTAGCACATCAAACAATGATTTCACTGACACAGGATGATTGCTTAAGCTGACTAATGGCTAAGGTTAAAAGAGTTCATGTAAAGGAATATCTTGAGCAGACAGTTCTATAAGTGTTACTCAGACACAGTAGAAATTGTGAAGGTGGTAAATTAATATTTGGAATGCATTGAGCTAGCCCCAACCTATCTCTTCAGGCAGGGTGTTGTCTAGAAAAGAAACGACAGTAGATAACTGAGTCTCTTATTTGAAAGCTTCCCCAAAGAGATTTTACAATCTCTTTCAGAGTGAGGCCATTGTGCTATGAATCTCATTGCCTAAAAGGTTCCTCCTTACATCTAGCCTCAATCCCTCTTGCTTCAGTTAAAACACATGACTGCTGGACATATACTCTTTATACTATCCAACATGTTAGGTCATCCAACATGCAGGCAGATGAATTCTAGCTATGCAGAACTTCTAGGAGCTTAAGAATTCAACTGAACTGTGACATATGTTTGTTACCTAAATCCAATATTTAAAGTTGGTAAAAAGAAAGGACCAAATCTGTACTTGGAGAGGGAACCCCCACTTTTCAAGCGCTTTTGTGGCTGACTGGTGAGCAAACACCAGATGGGGCCAGCCGACCTGTTGGAGGATCTAACTCCCGCACACAGACTCCTGGCAGACCGCAGTCACAGGTGAAGGCACTCATGGTCTTTTCCTCCTGTGTCTGTACAAAATCCTTTTCCACCTGAAAGAAGCTGTCTTGTCACCCTGGCACCACTCATCAACAAGAGGCTCCAACTCAGCCTATGTGAGGCCATTTAATTGCAGTGGAGAATGCCAGCTAAACAAAGCAAGGTAAATGAGTGACTTTTTACACACTTCTGTAACCCTCTGTGTCCAGCCAAGAGACTAATGTTGCCATTTATGAATAATTAAATCTTTTCCTCCAGAAAAAAAGAATAATCTGCCTTTTGCACAGTCACAAGAGCACGCTTAAATAGAAACAAAAATGCACATGTGGCCCGATCAAAGAAATCTGCCACATTTTCAAGGTTTAGTGTCCTGGGAGCTTTCAGGACAGGCTGATGGTCCTTTTTCACCATCTCTAAACCTGCTTGTGGACTATGGTTCCCTCCAGCCACTGTGCATAAAGCCTGCCTATTAGGGAGGCCAAAGAACACTCTAGAGGCGTGTAAACCCAGTCAAGCCTCAAAGGATACCTGTTTGCATAAGAATCTGAACTGTGCCTAAGCCTTCCGGTTTAGGGAACAAAGCTTCAGGGTTCTGAGTCCGGGTGTGTGGATTCCTCCCTGGCGTCCTGCACACTGCTGAAGCCTGGGGTGGAGATGGGGTTGGGGAATGCCCCTGCATTCATGGCTTCCAGGACACTCCAGTGCAGCCCAATTCTGCTGCAGTCCTGGAGGGTCAGGTGTGAGCCCCTGGAATACAGAGAACCTCCAAAGACAGAAGCAGAAAGAGGAAGAGGTGCAGGAGAAAGCCACAAGCCAGAGAGAGAAAGAGAAAGTCCCAAAGCAGAGTGGCAGGGAGGGGGAAAACAGACCTTGTGTATAAAACTACAGATGCTCCTGACCAAGTGCCAGCTCTCTCCTCACTTAGGACTAAGACCTAACTACTTACAGCCCAGCGGGCTCAGACTATTGATTTTATTTTTAAAAATTAAACTGGCATTTCACTTGGATTCGCTAACCAAATGAAGTCCTGAAACACAACAATTCCACCATGTAAAATTATTCTCACATAAAACCTGTTCAGGCAATAAGAACCAAAACATCTGCTCTTAGACACTATTCTTTGTCATTGCTAAACAGTTCTGTCTGTCCCTCTCTCTCTCTCTCTCACCCCCTACTTCCCACATCAGTCTTCCCAGTTGAGGGAGCAGCTGCAGAGTGAGTGCTTTCCACAATCAGCACGGCCACCTTCCTCCAGACTGGAGCCCTGGCCTTGCTCAGGATCGATCGCCTGACCCCTTTGCAGGTCTGCCCGGCCCCGCCGGCCACACGCACCCTGCCCAGGCTATGGTCAGTGTCCTGTGGGCTCCACGTGTGAACGGTTTGGCTCGGCTTGCTGACAGAGACGGCAGCATCAGAGATCCCTAGCCCTGAAACCCAGACCGGAAAAGGCAGGAGTGCAGCTGGCAGATTTGTAGAGCTGTGGGGCAGCTACCCCTCTTTGCTTAACCAGATGCCATCACCTAGAGAGTTCAGGAGAAGGAGACCTGCAAGGAGAGGGGCAGGAGGGAGAAGGCACAGGAAGCAGTAGCAGGTGCTTGTGCCAGCTGCACCTCTTTTACTCAGAGCCCAGACACAGGTGCTTCCGTGCCTACCTTGGTGGTTGTGTCTCCGCCACCCGGCAGCCTCTCCCGCTCTCCTCTGGGGGACTGCTGGTTTCCAGCACGTGCTTAGTGCTGTGGGATGCAGAGGGGCCTTCTGCTGTGAATCTCTAAGGGACTTCCTGGTGACCGAAACCGAAGGTTTCCTCCCCTGCGTGCAGCCTTTCACTGAGGCTCCTGTGGAGGTTTGCAGATTTTCTTTTCTCAAACTCAGTCCCGCCCCTTGTTCTTGCAGATAAGGGAGTTTTCCCTTAGGGCCCTCTGTGGCCTCCTGGCCCAGCGTTTCTGGTTCAAAGGGCACAGGGCCGTACTACCTATGAGGCTGAGCATTCATTCGCTTCAATTAAATTTTCCATTAACTTGGTCTCTGGCCAGTATGGATTTTCTCTCTAAGGTTGTCTCTGCAGTTCAGATCACTCAGCCCTGAGAATCAACCTTATGACTCCCCTCTGGTCCATTTAAGTACATTTCTATTTTTTCCCCCCTAATGAGATGCGCAGCAACCAACCATAATTTTAACGCCTGACACCTGAACTTCTTTAATCCTCTCAGATGTTTCCGGTTTGCTTAAGACTTTGTTCTAAGCCTAGGCGTTGATTTCCTCCTTTGGAAATTTTGACCAAAGGCGTTTTTGACCAAAGTCATCTGTTTGGGATAACGAGTGCCCTTTCTGTGCTCTCAGGAGGAGAGCAGGTTCCATACCATCCCCCGTATGATCTTGCAGCTTCGCCAAACCTCCACGCCAAGCTTATGAGAATTCCCGAGACCTGGGGGAGGTGAAGTGGGTGGGACTTCCTGTGGTCACGCTGTTTCCTCCACAGCCCCCACACTTTTTTGGTCTTTTGTAGAACCTTGGGGAAATTAAAAGTGGTCCTTAATCAGGAAAATGCTAAAGTTCCTGGAATAGAGGACACCTTGTAAGTTTCCTTTCTAAATGGACAGCTCAACTTTGAGAGAGATTCATAGCACTCCTAGCACTGCTCACTCTAGAGGAGCAAGTTGCTGTGCTGTGAGATGCTCTGCAAAGGGACCCATCTGGCAACAAACCAACAGCTCAAGGGAAACTGAGTCCTGCTGACAACCGTGTGAAAAAGCTGGAAAAGTGGATCCTACCCTAGTTGAGGTTTGAGATGCAGCCTTGTGAGAGATTCAGAACCAGAGGCTCTGTGGTCCAGGCTGCACCTGACCCCCTGACCCACAGAAGCTGTGAGACCATAAATGTTATTTTAAGCCCCTAAGTGTTGGGGGTAATTTATTATACAGCAAAAGATAACTGATGTGGACAGAAAAAGGGAAGCTATTTCATTCCTCTTGATTCTGCATGTCCAGATTGGAAGTTGTCATTATGAACTCAGCAGTAGCTAGGATATATCTGGTACAGAATATCTGCCCACTTCTCTGCCAGGGAGTTTATGTTTGTTTGTTGTAGTTTTTTTAAGCAAAGGATTTGTTGCTTATGAATGAAACCCAGAAAGCACCCACTATTAGGAGAGAGTTCATGAAGTTCATCTTAGAAGCCTACTGGTTTCCCAAGCTGCTTCAGCTCCTCTTGACATGGTTTGCCATTCTAACCCTAGTTCTCATGCATGGACAACAGATAATGGTGGGGTAGTCTGCAGATAGTAGTACCTTAGGGTCCGCCACGGGGGCTCAGGGTTGTGGTCCAGGGGAACAACCAAAAGGGGTCTCTAACACAACCAGTGTAGGTCCTGGAGGCCTCGAATGGCTGCATCTCACATACCCTGTCCCTTTGTTTCCACCAGTCCTTGTGCTTCCACTGTTCTGAGGTGTAAATCAGAGAACTTGGTTTCCAACCCCTTGGATCTACTTAGATGCCTGGCCCATCCCCCGGACCTACTCTTCTGTCAGAGGCAGAAGCCTCTTTGGACAGGTTCATCAGAAACACAGAACGTCTTCTGCAGTGGACACAGACACAACTGTTTGACAGAGAGGCCGGGAGACCCCCCACCATCTGGCCAGTTCTAATGGCTCACAGAGAATCGAGGAGTAGGGGTGCCACATGAAGGACTGTTGGCCTCTTGGAACACAGGAGATTTCCAGTAGATTTTGTCATTTGAAGAGAGGGCATAGGGTAGAGGTAGGGGTGTCTTTCAGAGGATTCCTGGGGTCAGCCTTCTAGGAAGAAGGAGTCCATTTGACCTCTTTTTTTCAGGCTCTTTTTCTCCTCCACACCCCCAAACAGTAGAAAGTCTATAAAGGGTTTACTGCCAGCATCATTCTGCTCCTCAAGTCTCAGGTGCTGGCATCTTTAATCCACAAAATAATTTGTGATTTAGGCAAGAAGAGTGTTCACTTCTTTTTTTTGTTTGTTTGAATACAGTTACTTTCTACCAAAATTTTATCAAAGGGGTCAACATGACTCAATATTATAATAGTTCATATTGAGGATAACTTGGGCAATTAAAACAACTTAATTGGAGCATTCATTCATTGGTTGATAGTTATTGCGTAAATAACTTCCTCACTATCTATAGGACATGAAAGAGAACCTGAGCCTTACAATGCAAAGGGATCCAATCAATTGCTAGACATAGTAGAGAATCCATTTTAAATTCTATGAAATGCAGGCTTTTCTCTGGAGGCCCTTTCTTTAAAAAAGAGATTATATTGTTCCCTTTTAGTTCAATATTTTAAAATAGGTACAGATATCATAATTTAATGAAAGATATCACTGAAAATATAATAAAGTTTTTCCTAAATGAACTTACATAGGCACACAGGGAGAATTAGGATGAGGAATCCTGCCCTGGAGAACACTCCTTATTCCATGGTGTAAGGGTTCTAGCTTGGCCTCTATGGCCCTAAGTGTCAGGAAAAATATGAAGGCTTTTGTATTTTCTACAAAACTTGTGGATGCTTTTTAGTTTGTTGTTGTTGTTGTTGTTGTTGTTTTGAGACGGAGTCTCGCTCTGTCACCCAGGCTGGAGTGCAGTGGCCAGATCTCAGCTCACTGCAAGCTCTGCCTCCCGGGTTCATGCCATTCTCCTGCCTCAGCCTCCCGAGTAGCTGGGACTACAGGCACCCGCCACCTCACCCGGCTAGTTTTTTGTATTTTTTTTTTTTTTTTTTAGTAGAGATGGGGTTTCACCGTGTTAGCCAGGATGGTCTCCATCTCCTGACCTCGTGATCCGCCCGTCTCGGCCTCCCAAAGTGCTAGGATTACAGGCTTGAGCCACCGCGCCTGGGCTATTGTTGTTTTTGAGAAGGAATCATGCTCTGTCACCTAGGCTGGAGTACAGTGGCACGATCTTGGCTCACTGCAACCTCTACCTCCTGGGTTCAAGTGGTTCTCCTGCCTCAGCCTCCTGAGTAGCTGGGATTACAGGCATCCGCCACCACACCTGGCTAAGTTTTGTGTTTTTAGTAGAGACAGGGTTTCACCATGTTGGCCAGGCTGGTCTTGAACTCCTGGCCTCAAGCAATCCGCCCGCCTCGGCCTCCCAAAGTGCTGGGATTACAGGCATGAGCCACCGCACTCGGCCTCAACACTCTTTTTCAACCTTTTCATCAAAACGTTCTGCAAGTATTCTTAAGACCAGAGCTTGTTAATAGTTTATTCTCCTTCCAAATGACCCCCTTTCTAATGCTCAGCTTGAGAATGAGACAACTCATTTGTCCATGTGGCCCTTGGTTGTGACAGAACAAACACAGCTCCACAATGCTCCAGTCATGTGGCCTGCACTGGGACACAAGCAGGTGCAAAGGCATCTGCAGGAACTCACCTCCCTTCATTCCTTTCCTTTCTTTCTGTTTTTGTGGGAGGGGGGATTCCAGCTCTGTTTTGTTTTGTTTTTTCCTTCATTTTTTTTATTGTGGTAAAATACATATCACATAAAATCTTGGCTGGACACAGTGGCTCACTCCTGTAATCCCAGCACTTTGAGAGGCTGAGGCAGGTGAATTGCTTGAGCTGAGGAGTTCGAGACCAGCCTGGCCAACATGGCAAAACCCCGTCTCTATCAAAAATACAAAAATTAGCCAGGCGCGGTGGTGGGCACCTGTAATCCCAGCTACTTGGGAGGCTAAGGCAGGAGAATCACGTGAACCCTGGAGGTGGAGGTTGCAGTGAGCTGAGATCATGCCACTGTACACCAGCCTAGGTGACAGAATAAAAAAATGTCTCAAAAAAAAAAAAAAAAAAAAAAAAACTGGAAAATTACCATCTTTACCATTTCTAAGCATATAGCTCAGTGATATTAAATACATTCAAAATGTTGCATAACCATCACCAGCATCTATCTCCATAACTCGTCTTGTAAAACTGAAACTCTTTACCCACTAATCAAGAACTTCCCCTTTCTTTTCTTTTTCTACCATCATTCCACATACTAATTCAAACAACAGATCAAACTCTGACACTGTCTGGTGGAGTAGGCTACTCGTGTGGGTTTTGTAGAAATGAAGAAATTCTCCAGGCAGCTGGAATGATGGGCTCTGCCTGCCCTGTGGTTGTCATCCAGCCCCGATGTAGCCAGAGCATAAGGACATGAGGAAAACATCCCGAGTGGGAAAGGCAGGAAACCCAGGAGGAGAAGAGAATTGATCTTCCTAGAGTGTAGTTTCCTCCTTGATTTTGCTAAATGAGAGCTGGGATTTGTTCTGTTCTTTCACATCTTTGCTAGAAGGAACACAGGTGTACCACAAGCCCCTTGTGGACATCTATTGTGTGCAGTCTGCCCTCTGAGCTGAGAAACAGGGACGCACACCCCACCCAGCCAGTGCTGGATAACAGGTCTTATGGACAGCAGGACTGGAGAGGAAAAGCAAAGGGCCGGGGATGAGAAGACCTGCCCTCAGTTTCCTCCCTGCTGCTATCTTGCTGTGTGTGTGGCTCTGAACAAGTGACCTGGGCCCTGTGCACCTCACTGCATTACAAACAGGGGAGCTCGGTACTATCTGCCAACTGACAAAATGGATGGGTCCATGTAATGAAACTCATGCCTCTTGATGAACCCTGTTCCCTTTTAAAAATAAATGATCTTTCATAAAGATAGACATTCTCTATATAGTTATTCTCTGTAATGTTATTCTATTAGATAAATGTGTGGTTGGGCAAGGAAGCAGGTTTGATTTCTTAATGCTGAGTGTATAGGTTCAACCGTAACGGAACACTGTGAGTGACTATTACTGGGAGGGTGTTCTGGTGCCTGCTCAAAGACCACCAGCCAAGGAAGGAAACGGTAAACCTCAAGAATAAATGTCCGTTCTCATCTTCCACCCCCTGCCATCTGTATATGAAAGAAGCTGCTCAACAAAAGTAAACAATCTGTCCCCATTATGCTAAACCTTCAAAAGGCAGGAAACCAGCTACTAAATTAGATCTTGCAGAAGAGTTCAACTCTCACATTTGTGGTTTCCAAAGATCTCCTACTCTTGGTAAGCAGACAATTTGTTCTGTCATGTTGCATAGAATTCAAGTCAGTAGGTATTTACTGCATATTTGCTGTGTTTCAGGCTCTACTGGGGACCCCCAGGCCTATCTAGCAGGAAGATGAGATCTGGACGCAGAGTCCTGCAATATAAAGCAGAATCAAATGCCATTGTGGATGTGGAAATAAGGATCTGGGGAGAACAGAGGGACATCTTCCTGGGGTTGGGGAAGGTTGAAAGGGCACCAGAGACCATGCTTCAGTGCTTGCTGGCCATGGGGAGAAATTTGTTTGCTTATTTGTCATCATTCTTTCCTATCTTTCACCCTCTTCCCCATATATGCAAGCCTTGTCTTTCTCCTCTGGATTTATACAAGTGCCACCTCAATCCAACCACTGTGCTCTTCATGCCCTTCTCTTCCTTTCCAGCCCACAAAGCACCTCCACTGGACACTGGATCATCTTCAGGGGCAACACTTGTAGGAGAGAAGAACCATCTTAGCACAGACTGACTTACTGTACTGAAACCTTGGAATAAGTTTCTCTGTGTGAGCAGGGCTCCACCAGCTCACCCACACTCTATCATTCAGAGTGTGGTCCCCGCCCTATCAGCTGCACCAGTATCAGCAGCACCAGTACCACTTGGGCACCTGTCAAAAGGCAGACTGTCTTCGGAATGATAGACAATGCAGGCTTGTAATGGTGAGCAGGTGGGAGGGAAGAGGAGAATTATGTAATGGGTACAATGTACATTATTTGGGTGACGGGTGTCCTAAAAGCCCTACCTTCAGCACTGTGCAATCTATGCATGTAACAAAATTACATTTGTACCCCACAAACTTGTACAAATAAAAAATCGAATTTAGCTTAATTAATTTTTTTTCAAAAAAGAAATGCAGGCTTTTAGGGCCCACCCCAACTTTACTGAATCAAAATCTGAATTTTAGCAACATGCTCGGGTGGTCTCTGCACATTAAAGTTTGAGAAGCACTGGCTAAAGCATATTTGTACTCGGGTCTTTTTAAATTTTAACACTCAAAGGCAAGATAACATTTTCCCCATGGTCATCTCATGACTTCTGACAGAGCCACCAATGTTATCAAATCCATCTTTCTGCCTCCATTCTCCTAAAGCGCCCAGGGAGCTGTGTTACTTCCTCAAGCACAAACCACATTCAGATGTCAGCTAATAGGATTGGAAGGAAATAACTAAGTTCCTGGTCTCAAGCCAAGAACTGTAACCTCCAGGCTGAATTCAGGCAGCGGGGAAGCCTGAAGGCTGATTTTCCCTAAGCACAGGAAAAAGATCATTTGAAAAGGGAGTTTATAACTTCGGGAGGCCGAGGAGGTCGAGACCAGCCTGGGCAACATGTTGAAATCCCGTCTCTACTAAAAATACAAAAATTAGCCAAGTGTGGTGTCGAACACCTGTAATCCCAACTACTTCGGAGGCTGAGGCTGGAGAATTGCTCGAACCCGGGAAGTGGAGGTTGCAGTGAGCCGAGTTCATACCACTGTACTCCAGCCTGGGCAACAGAGCCAGACACCATCTCGCAAAAAAAAAAAAAAAGAAGTGAGAGTTTATGTTTCAAAGGTCTGAGGAAGAGGTGTGGAAGAAGCCCTCCCTCTTCTTCAGGGGAAGAGGTCTTGCTTCTAATACAGCCACTTTGTCCTGGTGTCCATACCTTCACCTCTGGGAGGCCCTTGCTAATGCTTTGAGGGTAACCTGCCCTCCTGCTGTACAGGGTTGTTCTCTGCCACCTCCAGCCCGGAACTGTCAGCCTCTAAGGGACCAGGGAGGACATCTTGCTCCTACTCCTCCGGGTGGCCAACATTTCCACTAATGACCCTAACAAGTCATACATATTTGTCACCAACAATGGGGAGATCATTATCACCTACCTCCCAAGCAGCCCCTCCAAGTTCTGAGTGTCTTTGACATTTCAAAGCTCTTTACAATGTCAACTTCACCTGACTCCCAGGGAACTATCTTCCGAGAGTTCCATCTGCTTATTTAACTGCCAAGTTCTCTACCTGGGAGAGTGTTCCTTAAATCTATGCTTCTCTAATGTGTCTTCAAAACACCTGGGGATCTGTTGTTTGAAAATCTGGGAGGGCCACTGAGCTTTTTGCCTTTGGTGGGTGATAGCAATGCCCCTGACCAGAGTTTGAGGGACAAGACCTTATTTAGTCTCAGTTCTGTTCTTCAGGACCACAGAAAACAAAGCCACCTGACCTGCTGTCATACATGGAACATAAAATCATATCTTTCCCAAATCTTCTCTTTTTTTCTTCCAAAAACATCCCAGTTCCTTCCATAATTCCTTAGCTGTCATGGCTTTGCATCTTGTTATCATCTGATTAACTGTCTTCTGGAAATTTTCCAGTGGGTGTTAACAAGCCCTTTAGGTGCATGACACCAATCCTGGAACTCTTCAACTTGAACAGAGCAGCCCTGGGGCCAAGTAGAACCAGGCATTGTCCTGATTCAGATAAGCC